TTGCGTTCTTGCAGCGCCTTTAACTCTCTGTCCATGGCTTCACGCCATTTTTCTTTGTGTTCCCCCCCCAGAGCCTGCTGAATGTTGGCAGGCTCCTTAGGCGGTGCTGCTCCGTGGACAGCGGTGATGAGTCCCAGTATCTGCAGTCCGCTCTGTGTGTAGCGGGGTAGATTTGCGTCCTCGGGATAAGCTGCTTCATCTCCTGCTTTTGGATCCGGTAAGAAATTTGGTCCTATGCGTTCGGAGATGTTGGTGTCGACCGGTTGGGGTGTTACGTAACCGGTGTCGGCGAAGTCGAAGTAGATTTCGGCGTTGACAATGTCGCGAGGGTTTTCGTCATCCATTGGGATGGGCACGGATCAATATGGGAGTGGTCCTGCTTCCTCGGATGCGCTGTCCACGTTCTGCTCGTCCCAATCAGCTTCGTGTGCTGCTGAAGCGAAAGCTCGGTTGCCACGGAAGCCGCCCGTGAGGTCGCGATTTGCTGCCACGTTGTCGAGGTAAGTTTGAAGTGTGAGTCGCTCGTAGAAAATGACATCACATGCTGCTACTGTTTCCTTCGAGTGGACGTCGAAGATTTTCCATGCGTTGTAATGCTTTTCGATGCCCATGTGTAGCCCCCACTGTGCGCATTGGGAAAATCTTCGGGCTCTTGCAGTGTGCGGTCGGTACTGTACCATGCACCCGAAAACTCGTAACATTTTTGTGTTGCCCATTTTTCCTGTCCACAGCAGGTGCGGTGATGCGTTGTTCTGGAGCGATGATGACGAGAGCAAGTTGTGCAGCATGACAGCGTGGTCCATCGCCTCAGGCCACCGGTGGTTGGGCAGTCGCATGCCACGCAACAGTTTGCGCATGGTGTTATGGAGAATTCTGTTCATCCGTTCTGCCACGCCTTGCTGTTGATGGGCGTAGGGAAGCGAGATGGGTCGCTTGATGCCTCGTTCTGCGAGGTACTACTTGAACCTTTGTGATTGATATTCCCCTCCTCCGTCAGACTAAGCTTTTCAGTTTTGCTCCTGATTCTCGTTTTGCCACAGGTAGCCAGGCGACGAAGGCTTTGAAGGCCATGTCGCGACTTGGGAGGTTGAGGTGCCAGACGTAGCGGGTGGCGGCGTCGATGAAAGTAATCACGTAGTTCTATGCTCCTTGTCCTTGTTCGCGAGTATATAGGATGTCGCTGTATACTTTCTCGAGTGGTGCGTAGGCTGGCGCGCTTGGATTGTGGTGAGAGACAAATGGTTGATGAGGTAAGTCAGCTTCGAGGCACGTAAAGCATGTGCCTCGAACTCGTTGGAGTTCTCTGCCGTCGGGTAGAAGGAGTGAGTCTTTGTCGAGTACAGCCGCCTTGATTGTGTTTGTTTAACGTGGTGTAGCTTGGATGACCTAATCGTTCGTGCCACAGTGATTTGCTTGCACGATGTCCGGGTGAGCGCTTGTGCAGGTCGGAGTTGGAGTAAAATCCCGTGGTGAAGTTGGCGCTTCTGTGAAATTCGTGTGGATTGGAAGCTAATTGCTGCGCAGGAGTCGATGGAGTGTCGTCGATGAGAACTGGTGTCGTTGAAGAGCCCGCGATTGGTGCCGTAAGTGTTGCTGCTGCTGCCGATCTTGTCTCCGCTGCTGTTGATGTTGTTGCTACTGCTGTTGATGTTATCTCTTCTTGCCGGATTGTTGCTAATGCCCGTGTTCTTTCTACTTCAGGTATGGTATGTGAATACCAAAATCCTCCAAGACTGAAGTCGGGGTCGAGGTCGGGTGGATGTGTCCAAGAAGTGAAGTTGACGATGGCGTCGCTGTCGGCGGTACCTTGGTCTGGGACGAAGTCAAGAACAAAGACGTTGTTTTTCAAGACTGCCTTGCCGATGTAGAGTCCGCCCTTTCCGTGGAATAACTTAAAATCCTGAGTGGTGCTGTCTTCTTCGAGATGAATACCCTTAGCCATCAGTTGACTGATGCTAAGTAAGTTGTAACCGAGTCCTTCTGCAATTAGAACCTTTGACATTTGTAAAATAACGTTAGTTTCTCGAGACTGAAGTTGCACGATCCCTTGTCGTCGTGTGTGCAGGTTCTGGTTGTTGGCGACGGTGATTACAACTTCGCGTTGAAGTTGATGTTCCTTTTGAACGAAGCGACCCGTTGAACACATGTGCTATCCGCAGCAACTGTCGAAGAACCAAGTGTCTTTCCCGGACGGCTCGCTCTGGGCGATGGCTGCATACGTCGGGTTGGGCTCAAGTGATTCGCGGCGAGGAGTCCTCTCATCGAGTTGTTCTTCTGGTGAGTAGTGGGGTGGTGATCCGGTAATGCAGGAGTCTGTTGTTCTTGTCATGCAGCTCACGATGTTTCTTGTTCCTTGTGCAGGTTTTGTCGTTGAAGACTGCACTTGATTGGTGGGATGTGCCTGCGTAGAAGCTACTTGGCTGCTTGAAGGTCGAAGTTGACGTTGCGGCGACGTCGACTGCTGCTGATTCGGGCAGTGTGTGCGCGGATGTCTGGACGTCTTGCAAAGATGACAAAACGGTGGGACGTATTGTTGAGTCTGACGGTTGTTTTGTTGATTGTTGTTGTTGTTGTAGCGTCGTTGAGTGTGAAAAGCGAATTCTGGTGCTGACGCTTTCTTCTTGTGTCTTTCCTCGTGCAGATCCATATCCTGCTGTTCAGCGTGAATTTCGACGGGCCGGGACGGGCCAGCAACGGGCGGCGAAGGCAGGGCCGCGACGGGCCAGCGAAGGCAGGGCCGCGACAGGCGGCACTAGGGCAGGGCGCGCGACGGCGCAGGTGAGGCAGGCGCGAGGCGCGCTTCGGGCAGGGCAGGAAAAAAAAAATCGTGGTGGGCCCTAAAAAAAAAAACGTTCCCACGAGGGAACCTGATACCATGTCAGAATAGTGAAGAAAGGAATGACTGAACTAGCAAGCAGGTGGGTACATGTAGGAAACCTAAAAGTGTTGTACCCTATATGAACTACCCCACTACAGCCTAGGCAGACTATAGCATATATGTTTGACACCTCCAACACCTCCAGCACTCCCAGCAGCACCTCCAGCACCTCCAGCACCTCCAGCACCAGCAGTAGTGCCAGTAGTTGCAGCAAGGGCGGCTCGGGAGGGCAGTAGTAGCTTATCAGCAGCAGTATCAGCAGCAACAACACGAGCAGCAGCAGCGGTAGTAGCAGCAGGGCGGCTCGGTGGGGCTGGCGAAGGAGGCAGGGCGGCGCGGCTCGGGATGGGCAGCGCGGCTCGGGATGGGCGGCGCGGCTCGGCCTGGTCGGCGCGCCTCGGCAGGGCTGGGCGGCGCGGCTGGGCAAGGCAGGGCGCGCTGGGCTGCGGGGCGCGCTGGGCGTGCACTGGACAGGGCAGTTGGGCGCGCGCTGAGCAGGGCAGCAGGGCACGACACGATGGGCTGCAGCAGGGCGCGAGGTGCAGGGCAGCAGGGTGCGACGCGCGGGATGCAGGGCGCAACGCGCGGGCTGCAGCAGGGCGCAACGCGCAGGGCAGCGGGGCGCGCGCTGGGCAGGGCAGCAGGGCACGACGCGCTGGGCTGCAGGGCAGCGCGGTGCGCGGGCCTAAGGGCAGGGCAGCGCGGCTCGCGAGCTGCAGGGCAGGGCGGTGCGCGGGCCTAAGGGCAGGGCAACACGATGCACGGGCTGCAGGGCAGCTGGGCGTGGGCTGCAGGGCAGGGCGGCGTGCTCTGGGCAGGGCAGCAGGGTGCAACGCTCAGGCTGCAGCAGGGCGCGACGCGCGGGCAGCAGCAGGGGAGCGCGCTAGGGAAGGCAGCACGCGTGGCAGCAGGACAGCGCGGCATTGTGCGAGCAGGGCAGGACAGCACAAGGGCGCTTCGGGCAGGAACGAGCGGAAGTATTGGTGGGCCCTAAAAATTTAACAGGTTTCCTGCTATGAAACCATGTCAGAATAATCTGTGCAGGAATGATGAATGACTAGCAAGAGTGAGATACAAGTAGTAAACCCTAACTGCGATTGTACTCTATACTGAGCACCTCACTGTAGCCTAGCAGAACTAGGAACATACAAATATGTTTTGACAATTTCGAACCGTGAAAAAGAGGAAAAAGTGTCACGACGGTCCGAATTGTTGGCGACGTCGCACAAGCCTTCACGAGCTCCGTAACGACTTTGTGCGGAACTAGTAACCCTTCGTTGACCCGGACGGTCCACAGTTCGAACCGTCGGGGTCAAAATGGTTACACGCCGTAAGGGTACATTCGTGGCCCGTGTGAGACTTCAGGTCAAAAGCCCTTAGGGTACATTCGTATCCCGTGTCAGACATAAGGTCTGGCACGAAGTGGATGCTCGGAAGACACGAAGTGCCCCAAAACGCAGGCAAATTTAGGTTCGGAAGACACAAGCTGAGTCACTCTGTGTCTTCCGAACTTCCAACTTTGTGTCTGACACGGGATACGGTACGAATGTACCCTAAAGTTGAGCTAAGCGAGGATCTCGGGGGGCAAAGTAAACGAGGCTCGGAAAGTTGGCGAGAGGTGCGGTGGCGACTCGGAAGTGGTTCGGAACGAAAGTAGGGCCGAACGAACCAGCTGATGAGAGAACCTAGAAACATACCCACTAACAAAAGTACACAGTAAGGCATAGTATGTTGTTGGTGCTTCCGTACTTGATTTCCAAGGAAAAATTGTTACCTTACACTACCCCACTCCCCAAGGGAGGCCCCTTGTAAAATCATGTGTATGTTACGGAAGTTCTGGCTGCGCAGATACTCGGTGAGGACGAAGTGGTTTTTGTTTTTTCCCAGGAGGACCCAGCTGTCCTTGGTCGGCGTTCGGTCTCTCTAGCGAATCAGGAACCCGATGCGTCATGCTCCACATGGGTCGCGTATTCAACGACTCAGTATGTTTTCAGGTAGGATCTTTGGTTCGGTTGGAGGTCATGTCATGTTGGACGGTGGCTGAGAATGGGTAGGTAGGACTGAAGTACCATTACATACTCCCAAGTATACAAAGGCTATGGTCTGTAGTACTCAGATCTCCTTACCCTACACCTGCAGAGCTGCCATTTGACTGCTGTAGAAGCTTGTCTGTCCGTGAGACCCATCTATGGGGGAGGGTCTTGATCAATTGACTCCTGTGTTGCGTAATGTCCTGCTCAAAGCCGCGGCTCCCCCCACATGTGCTGGATCCTGCCAGGAAAACGTGGGCATGCGCGCACAGCAGCTTGTCCAATATGGCCACGATGCCTGCATGTACAGAAGGGAGAGCGTGGGAGAGAATAGAAAATGTGGGCGGCATAGAGGGTGGAAGAGAGAGAGCAGATGGAAAGAGAGGAAGAGGAAGTGCTTGAGGGTTGGGATGGCACACAGGAGCAAGGCGAACTCTTTTGAGTCGACTCAAAAGGCGAACTCTTGGTAGAAAGGAGAAGGGGCATAGCACAGCGAGGGAAATCTCAGGCAGTCAGATCTTGCAGCCCAGGCAGCCACTCAAGCAGCCAGCAAAGCAGGCAGCCACTCAAGCAGCCAGCCAAGCAGGCGACCACTCAAGCAGCCAGCCAGTGAGGCAGTGAGCACTGACCGGGGTCGTAGTGGTTGTCGGCGGGCATGAGGTCATCCAACATTTTTAAGGCGCCTCAAAAGTGAGGCAGAGTGCACTGACCGGGATCGTAGCGGTTGATGGCGGGCATGAGCTCATCCACCATCACTGTGCCCGCCACCTGCTCCCTTTTCAGTCGACTCAAAAGTCACCCCAAGCAGCCAGCCAGTGAAGCAGTGAGCACTGACTGGGGTCGTAGTGGTTGATTGCAGGCATCAGCTCATCCACCATCACAGTCCCCGCCACCTGCTCCCTTTTCAGTTGACTCAAAAGTCACCCCAAGCAGCCAGCAAGTGAGGCAAAGCGCACTGACCGGGGTCGTAGTGGTTGATTGCAGGCATGAGCTCATCCACCATCACAGTCCCCGCCACCTGCTCCCTCAGCCACCGCAGCTTCTCCCGCGGGGCCTCCAGCACGCGCGCTTGCCCTTGGAACATCCACGTGGTCGTTTTCCACGAGTCCGACCGCACCACGCTGCCCGCCTTGTCGTCAAACGCCACGTCGGCGGCGATGAAGACGGCGGAGATGTTGTGGCGGCGCTTCATGCCGTTGATGAGGTCGCGCGCCGCCTCCATGCACCCCGCCATGAGCTCCTCCAGCGCGCCTGCCTCCACCTTGAAGCCTCTTTGCACTAGCTTGTGCGCCTGTAGGGTGGGTGAGGTGGGATTAGGGCAGCAGCGGGATGCGAATGTGAATGACTCGTGAGTCACTTTGGGTCTGCTCAAAAGCGAATGGAGTGTTAGCTTTATGAGGTGGAAGGCGATGAACTCACAAGGTGGAAGGCGATGAACTCACGAGGTGGAAGGCGATGAAGTCACGAGGTGGAAGGCGATGAACTCACGAGGTGGAAGGCGATGAACTCACGAGGTGGAAGGCGATGAACTAACGAGGTGGAAGGTGATGAACTCACGAGGTGGAAGGCGATGAACTCACGAGGTGGAAGGCGATGAACTCACGAGGTGGAAGGCAATGAACTCACGAGGTGGAAGGCGATGAACTCGGAACGGTAGTGCACCGCAATGTACCGGGGGGGCAGTTGGGCCATGGCTCGATGCGCCATGGCGTGCCATGCCTGGCTGTATGGAAGCATCTGGAAGGAGGTGTCGTCTGTGGGGCGGTGGAAGGCCACTCGGTCGTATGTGGTCTTCACCCACACCAGCACGTCTCTGTTCCGCCTGCACTCATGCAGCCGTGAAATGCGCAGACGATGCACAAGTGGGCAGAAGGGAAGGCAAATCGTTTGCTGACAGAGGGGTGCTGGGACAGTGGCACGATGTGGAATGCTATGGTGTGCGGGATGGCGTGCAGTATGGGAGAATTAAACAAACCACCCAGGTTGGCTTGCTTTAGAGGAGACTCTGAGAGTAGAAGTTCTAAGTCATAGGCGTTTAGCTTCCAACAGAGAATGAGTTTCCACCCATGATAGAAACAGATATGCCATGAGATGCACAGAAACAAACCCCCATGGTACGACAGATTCATAGGATGCTTGCACGGGCCATGCACTCATCAGTCTTCATATCGGAAAGAGGACAGATAGAATGCACTGAGCATGGAATGACGCACCACTGATGCAACTGCTGGAGCACTGCGCTGCTGTTGGCGGGCAAGGTGACATCAACAGTGTTGCGTCTCGACGGTGCGTGGCCCATTCCATACACCATCAGCTCACTCAGCATCTCCGCCAGAGGCCCTGCACACCAAGGTGCAATAGAGTCTTTTAAGAGAAAATTGCAACGTCAATGGAAACATTTAGAGATGGCGTTTAGTACTTGCTACATGTGCAGAAGGAACTTGGAACATGCTTTGGCTTCTGCGACTTGCCTTGAGTGAAGGTCATCCGCCACACATGGGAGGTCTGCAGATGTACGAAGGGGTTATTTTAGGCGCCCCAAAAATTGCCTTTTGAGGTGCCTAAAAGAATTATGCGACTTGCCTTGAGTGAAGGACATCCGCCATGCACGGGAGGTCTGCACATGTATGAACGCCACTGAAGGGCTGGCTTTTACTGCCGCGGCAGCAGCAAAGGGCGGGGTGAGAGCGGCTCTAGCGAGCAGCAGGAAGAGGTCTGGCGAGATCCAGTGGGCGTCGAGGCGAGAGAGATCGAAGTAGTCGCAGAGGGGCAGGGCACGCGCGAGTGAGAGGCGGCTGCGACTTCCCTGCCATGATTGGGGAGAGGGGAGAGGGGGGAGAGCGGGCGGGAGAGCGGGCGGGAGAGCGGGCGGGAGAGAGGGCGGGAGAGAGGGCGGGAGAGAGGGCGGGAGAGCGGGCGGGAGAGAGGGCGGGAGAGAGGGCGGGAGAGAGGCGGGAGAGAGGGCGGGAGAGAGGGCGGGAGAGAGGGCGGGAGAGAGGGCGGGAGAGAGGGCGGGAGAGAGGGCGGGAGAGAGGGCAGGGGGGAGAGAGGGCGGGAGAGAGAGGGGAGAGAGGGCAGGAGAGAGGGCAGGGGGGAGAGAGGGCGGGAGAGAGGGCAGGGGGGAGAGAGGGCGGGAGAGAGAGGGGAGAGAGGGCGGGAGAGAGGGCAGGGGGGAGAGAGGGCGGGAGAGAGAGGGGAGAGAGGGCGGGAGAGAGGGGGAAGAGAGGGCGGGAGAGACGGCGGGAGAGAGGGTTTAGGGTTGGGATGTGAAGAGGATACCGCAGAATGGCACTCGGGAAGCAAGGGAGTGGCAGCTTGGGAAGCAAGGGAGTGGCACCTTGGGAAGCAAGGGAGTGGCACCTTGGGCAACACGAGCGTGCGGTTGGTGGCTTGGGCGAAGCGGGCGGCCTCGACGAGGTGAGAGCGCGTGTTGGAGAGCTGCTCTTCCGAGTAGGCGAACACGAGGAACCTGCTGCCCCTCGTGGCCTGGGGGGGGGTTAATGGATGGAATCTACGCAGTGGGAAATGGGGCCGCTTTTGAGGCGCCTCAAAAGTCTTCGGAGTAGGCGAACACGAGGAACCTGCGCCCCCTGCTGGCCTTGGGGGGATGGAATGCAGGCAGTGACTTTTGAGGCGCGGCGCCTAACAAAAAGAGAGCTGCTCTTCAGAGTAGGCGAACACGAGGAACCTGCGCCTCCTGGTGGTCTAGGGGGGGATGGAATGCAGGCAGTGGGAAATGGGGCAGGTGAGGGCGGGATTAGGCTTCTCCGTAGTGCTCGTGCGCCCTGGTGGACCTGGGGTGGTGAACTGGAGAGAGTGGGAATGGAGAAGAGGGGAGGGGGGAAGAGGTGCGAAAGAGAGTGGTGAGAGCTTCTGGTGTAAATGGAAACTGGGGCAGGTGCGTGGGGGATATCAAAGAATTCTCAGCAGTACTTCTGCGCCCTCGTACACCGGTGAGGATGGAATGGAGGGCGTGTTGAATGGAAGAGGTGAATGGGGAGGGGGAGGGAGGAACACAGAGCTGCTTGCTAGAGTGGGCAACGTGGGGAAGCTTGCGTGCTCTCGTGGACTGAGGGCAGAAGAAGAAGAGGTGGTTAAGACGAGAAAGAGCGGAGGAGGGCAGGAGGGGGGGAGGAAAGAGGGAGGAGGATAGGGAAGGAAAAGGGGGGCACCATGGCATCAGAGAAGGGCATGTGAGGCACCGGCCAGCACGCCTCAGGCCACGTGCTGCACTGTGCTGCTGCTGCTCCCTCCCCTCCTGCTTCTGCTTGCCCTGCTCTTGCTCCTGGCCCCGCTCCTGCTCCTGCCCCTGCTCCTGCTCCTGCCCTTGATCCTGCTTCTCCTATTGCCCCTGCCTCTGCTCCTGATTCTCCCTCTCCTTCTTCTGCTGCCGTCCCGCCCTCGTCGCCCCCATGTCCCATGTCGCTGCACTCGCCGCTCAGCCGGGCCTCTATCTCGCGCACCCCGCGGCAAACAGCATCCACGCCCGCTTCTATCCGCGCCAGCGACGTCGCGTTCCGCGTCACCGCCCTCCTCACGTACGCGCTCGTTGCTGCGCGCGCCATCGCCGCCCGCCGCCAGCCCGCGGAGCACAGCAGCGCGGCGGAGTCTGCTGGGCTGCCGGCGGTAGCAGCAGCACCACCACCGCCACCGGCAGCACCAGCAGGACCGCCACCAGGAACAGGACCACCTGCGCCATTGGCGCCGGTAGTGGTACTATCGGCCGTTGTAGGGCGACTATCAGGGCTATCAGCGGGGCTAGCGGGCCTGTGAGGTTCCCGTGTGAGCTGAGCGTCGGGGCTCGGCAGCATCACAGACAACGCGGCCTGGTAGTCCGCCTCGGCCTCTCTCCGCCTCGCTTCCGCTGCCCATTGCTGCAGCACGTTCCGCAGCTCCGCTCTGCACGCCGCTGCGGCACGCTCCTGCGGCGGAGTCAGCGCGGGGCCGTCACGGCCCGCGGGGCCGTTGGGCGGGGAGGAGTGGGCGCGGGAGTCTCTCATGGTCGTCACGCACGAGTCGGTCAGGTTCTTGAGAGGGAGACTAGAGGAGCGCCGATAGCGGACTGCGACGGTACTGTGGAAGGTGTAAGGAGCGTCGGACGATGACGGTGCGATGAGTTGATGGTAGCAGACTCGAAGGAGGCACGAGAGGATGACCAGTAGTGCGAATGAGCATAATAGTCGTTCTACGGAGCCACGGGTAGCGAGTCTCGCTGGGGAAAACATAGAAGCCATGATTGGAACCCGGCTTGATTCCCGCGACACTCGCGCATCACTCATAGCAACACTAGGTCATTCATTCGCCACTGCTACTGCTAGCTTTCCTGCAGTCGCGCACGCGGAGAGTTCGCGCCCGGCGGTGGCCGGCCGGAAACAATCACTCATCGAGGCTTGTCGTTAGCTGTTGCTAGCTGGCTCTCTCGAAATTCTCGCAGCATATAACTTAAGGCGCAGGGGGATGCCCTTCACCATTTGAAATCTGGCAGGCGTTACACAGCAGTCAGTGATCTCAACATAACGAGCATAGAGAACTCGTTGGTTTTCCAGCTCCCGTAATGACCCTGATTTTGGGTCTTCCTGTTCGCGCCAAACTGAATCGACAAATCCTCCTGACACACCACGTTCTGACACACTTTTCGAGACTCGGGTAATTTACGCACGAGTAGCTGTGATGAAACAAATTGTAAACATTCAGTGAATATTTAAGCGCTCATTCGGAACATTGTTTATCCCTATCTAATTCTATTGTACACCAGGGCCAAAAATTATAAACCCCTTTCTGATAAACCCTAAATACTTTGCGACAAGGTGTTTCGGTTTTATTCCTACGGAAAGGCATTCCATTTAAGAGGGGTGCATTTTTCTCCCGCATGTACAATTATCCCACATTCGAATATAACATTTTTTTTATACTGTCGCTATGTGGGGAAAATTGATCGCATTGGAAGTGTTGATATAACCAATGAATTGATGGATATGATAAATCTAGCCAAATAGGATGGAAAACAATGAAGTCTCTCAATGACCTTGTTTATGATAAATTGAAAAGAAACAAGATGGTAAAGATGGCATTACGAGGGGTTTATATAGCATTCTTAGCTAGCCATGTAATTTGAGGGGTACATTGTCAAACTTATACATAGCTTACGTTGTGTAGGCTGTAGTGGGGTACCAATTAGGGTTAGTACTTGTACCCAACTCTTTCATAGTTCATTCATTCTCGTTCATTATTCTGACATGGAATCAGAGCAGGTCCTCTGCTAGGACCGTTTTCCTTGGGCCCACCACAGGGCTACCCCGCTAGCCGCCCACTGCAGCCCTCGAGCTGCCCCTACTGCCTGTCGCGACCCTTGGGCCCCTAGGCCCGTCGCCCCGCGCCCCCCCCCCCCCCTTCGTTCCTGGCCCCGCGGCCCGTCGCCCCTAGGCCACTCGGCCCCTTCGCTCCGCGGCCCGTTGCCCTAGGCCCCGTCGCCCCGCGGACCCCGTCGCCCCGCGGCCCCCGTCGCCCTAAGCCCGTCACCCTAGGCCACGTCGCCTCGCGACCCCCGTCGCCCTAGGCCCCGCCGCCCCGCGGCCCCCGTCGCCCTAGGCCCATCGCCCTAGGCCCCGTCGCCCCGCGGCCCCCCGTCGCCCTAGGCCCCGTCGCCCGCGGCCCCCGTCGCCCTAGGCCCGTCGCCCTAGGTCCCGTCGCCCCACGGCCCCCGTCGCCCTAGGCCCCGTCGCCCCGCGGCCCCGGGCCTTCGTTTCTGGCCCCGCGGCCCCCCTTCGCTTCTGGCCCCGCGACCCCCGTCGCCCCTAGGCCCCCGGCCCCTCACCCCCCCCCCCCCCCCCCCCCCCCCCCCCCTTCGTTCCTCGCCCCGCGGCCCGTCGCCCCTAGGCCCCCGGCCCCTCGGCCCTTCGCTTCTGGCCCCGCGGCCCCCGTCGCCCCTAGGCCCCCGGCCCCTCCCCCCCCCCCCCCCTTCGTTCCTGGCCCCGCGGCCCGTCGCCCCTAGGCCCCCAGCCCCTCGGCCCCCTTTGTTCCTGGCCCCGCAGCCCGTCGCCCCTAGGCCCCAGGCCCCTTGGCCCCTTCGTTCCTGGCCGCGCTGCCCGTCGCCCCTAGGCCCCCGGCCCCCCCCTTCGTTCCTGGCCCTGCGGTTGTTGCCCCTAGGCCCCCCCTGGCCCCTCGGTCCGTTGCTCCTGGCCCCGCGGCCCGTAGCCCCTAGGCCCCCTGGCCCCTCGACCCGTTGCTCCTGGCCCTGCGGCCCGTAGCCCCTAGGCCCCCGGCCCCTTGCCCCCCCCCCCCCCTTCGTTCCTGGCCCCGCGGCCCGTCACCCCTAGGCCCCCCCGGCCCGTCGCTCCTGGCCCCCCGGCCCCTCGGCCCCTCTGCTGCTGCTACTGCTACAACTGCTGCTGCTGCTGCCTGCCCTATGCTCTTCGCTCCCCGCTCTGCGTGCTGCACCGCTATGGCTTCGCTTCGAGTTCTTGCGTTCGATCATGAGGGTCGCCCGATCCAGTTTGACACGTGGCTGGACGACCTACAGATGTACCTACTGAGCGACTCTCGGGACAATGTTTATTTGTTTGACCTCACGTCTGGCACTGCTCCCGCCCCTCCCGCCACAGCTGACAGTGCGACTCGCTCACAGTGGCTTACTCGCGACGCTGCTGCCTGCTTAGCCATTCGCAACCACCTGCCATTAGCCGAATGCGCTCATTTCGGACAGCACAGGACAGCACAGGCACTGTACGACACTTTCGTCTCTCGCTACTCCTTGCCTGCCACTGCTGCTCTAGGCCGCCTCCTCCTGCCCTACCTGTTCCCCGAGCTGTCCGCCTTTGCCACAGTCGAGGTCCTGGTTTCCCACCTTCGCACTAGCGACGCTCGCTACCGCGCTGCCCTCCCAGCGGAGTTCCTTGACAGGAACCCGCCCCCGATGTACATCACTCTCTACTTTATAGTCAATCGCCTCCTTGACTCTCTGCGCTCTGCCAGGGACCACTTCGTCTCCCTTGACCCCACCTCCCTCACTGTTGACCTACTCGAGTAGCACCTCCTTGCAGCCGAGAATAATGCAGTAGCTGTAGGTGCTGAGAACCGAAGACGAGCGGGTAGACCGCCAAGAAACAGAGCCGGAACCAAGGCTGAAGGTGTAACCCTGTGACGACCGCTGCGTAGCTGAGTCGTCAACCTAGGAGGCATCTGCGTGACCAGTGAGAACAACTGGACCCCGTCCTCCAAGCATAAGCCCCATGCCCGACGTACTGCACAGGTAACGCAGTACCCTCTTCGCAGCATCCCAGTGCACCTTTCGGTGCCTACCGGGAACCACGTAGCAAGCCAGAAGGCTGGGAGGGTACGCGAGGTCAGGTCGTGTGCACGTCATCAGGTACATGAGGCAACCCACAAGCTCTGGGTACGGACCACTCGGCTCTACGGACTCGTCCGAAGGTGGAGCTGAGAGCGAGTGGCTGGTAGACAGAGGAGTGGGCTGTGGAGAGGAGAACTGGAAGCCGAAGCGCTGAAGGACCTAGTGCACCATGTGTGACTGAGTCAGTGTGATGGTGCGCCATGCTCTGTCCCGGGTGATCTGCAGGCCAAGATAGCTGCGCAGTTCACCCAGGTCAGTGCAGGTGTGTCTCTTCTGCAGCTCAGACTTCACAAGGGTCAGTGCCTCAGTGTCAGCAGTAGCAAAGACAAGGTCGTCGACGTACACGAGGACGTAGAACGGCGGCAGCGAGGTGTCGGTGCGTAGAAACAGCGACGGGTCTGCTATAAAAGGAGCAAACCCAAGAGCCGCATGTGTAGTCCTCAGTGTGTCGTGCCACTCGCGAGGCGCCTGGCGAAGACCGTAGACTGGCCGGCGGAGGCTCCACTGGGTACCTGCAGGAAACGTCCCAGTGAAACCATGTGGTCGGAGTAGCCAAATCTCCTCGTGCAGGCTGCCCTGCAGGAAAGCTGTGTTGAAGTCTAGAGAGTGCAACTCGTAGTCACGCTGAGCAGCGACGTGCAGCAACACCCGAAGAGTAGTCATCTTCGGGGTGGGGGAGAAGGTCTGGAAGTAGTCAACTCCCTGTCGTTGACTAAAGCCTCGAGCAACGTAACGCGCCTTGAAGGCAGGCGGAGACCCCGGCGGCCGCTTCACCCTGAAAATCCACATGCCATCGACTATGTTCGCCCCAGGTGGGGGAACCTCGTCAACGTAGGTGCCTGTGGACTTCCAGGATGCCATCTCGGCATCCATGGCTGCCTGCCACTAAGAGGAGTAAGGACCCGTTATCGCCTCTGCTTAAGAGCGCAGGGTCGGGACGTCCGGTGCATCCGTGTCTCCCTCAGGGGCAAGCAGCATGGAAGCGAAACGAGGTACAACAGCTGCAAGACACTCAAAGTCCTCCTGCTTGTCCTCAAGGACATCCGTGCCAAGAGCACACTCACCCCCGACGGACGGAGGACTGGCAGATACAGACTCAGCAACTAGAGCAGTGGCGTAGTCTAGACGGCAGGCAGCAGCAAAGTCAAGCAGCTCAGCAACGAGAGCAGACGCAGCAGCAGACTCAAACGAAGGGTCTGTGACAGCAGTGGCGAAGAGACGAGAGACAGCGGGACTGGCAGCACGAGCGCGGTCACACTCAGGGTCAGGGGCTGCAGGAAGAGAGGACTCAGGAGGAGGAGGCAGAGGAACACGCAGTGGAACAGAGGAAGGACGGAGTGCCATAGCATGCGTGCCGGGGACAGGAGGAGGACACGAACGAGGAGCGCGACGAGCAGTGCGAACAGGCGAGACACGACGAGACGCAGGCTCACGACGCTCTGTAAGACCGCCGGACTGCTAAGTGTAAGGAGAGGGAGCAGGCAGTGGGGAGGCTGGCTGTAACGGCGGCTGCGACTGGTCAGGCAGGGGACACAGGAGGGGAGGAGTAAGGCCAGTAGAAGACGGGGTACCAAGAACCTGCTGAAGCAGGGGAACAAAGTACGGTCGCGGCCGCACAGTGACTCCAGCACCTGCAGCTCCAATGCCTCCAAC